ACTAGGTCCGCTGGCACAACTCTACTACCTTAGAAATTCACACTCTGCTCAATATCCGGATGAACTCTGGCAAGATTCTTCAAATCTATTCATGAAGTTTTAAAAAAGACCAAAAGTGTAAAAGATTCACAAGTATATTTAAACCTTCCAGACTGTATTTGTGCTTCAGTGCTATAAAGTCTTCTTATTCTACAAACTCTTATTCTCTTATTCTCTTTCCAAAGAATTTGATTTATCATTGAAGAGATACAAAGCTGATCTCAAATTCCTATAGATTATCTCCTTCTGGGTGTTTGGAAATAAGAGTTCAGTGTTCCCCCACTGAAAATATCTGATATCTTTTTGCAGTTATACCGGAGCTTTTTCAATAAGCAGAGTCGAAGATTGGTATATTATGAGGCAAGACCACTTTTACACAGTGGTATTTGTCATTTATTTAACGATAATACCCCGGAAGGTTAGAACACAGTTTATACACAGTACACTACAAAGTGTTTGTTGTTCCTTGACGAGCGTTAGAGAGAGCGATATGATTCATATTCGGTAAATGTTTGCTTTTTGACAATTTAAACACTGGTGCATTAACAGATAATGAACTTTAGTGTGTAAAGATGAGAAAACACAGGACATATACACATATAAACACACACCCACATTTTTTTAAACCCACTAAGGAAATTGTGCATCTGGAGCTACAATGTTAATCATTAATCATTACTGATAAAGGAGGTAGAAGCTACAAAACACACTATTCTTTAATTTCAAGGTATTGCTCGTTGCTCATCTTAATTCTTCTGCTGTTGAATTATGTAGATTACAAAGACTGAGCTCGTTTAACCGACTACTCAGTTTCCCAAAAAGCAGCAGAAAGAACAAGGGAGTCAAAATATTTCGTACTAATGCAATTCAAATGGTAGATTTAAATTTAATGCAGTTATTTTCAAAATAAACATAGCGTTGCATGTTTTTACTCAATCTACACAAAAATGGGTAAGTCATTATATATTACATTCTTTTAAAGTGGTAAGAACAGCAACAAAGCGCAAATGTAAAGCAGCAAGGATGTACCAGTCTGTGATACTACATGAAATCAACAGTTAATGTTAATTTTAAATCTTTTTCCACCTCAGGTATAGCAAATTGGTAGCCAGGTGCTATACAGAAGCTGGCAGATACTGCAGTCAAATACATGACTGCTAGATGAGAAAAGCTACAACTCATCACTTTAAGCTTCTCTCGAAGAGACAGGTCATCCTGTGGTCTTGACACAAGCATGAATCCTCCCAACCCAAATAAAGCCATCCCAAAGCACATCACCTAGTCTGCAGGCAGGTGCACTGAAACAGATACCAAAGCTTAGAGCCACTGAGGCCATTTAGTCTCCTCCCTGACAAAAGAGGTCCCAGAAAAATATTTGAAGTTGAAAGGAAACAGTGCTGTGCAGCAACATAAAGCAAAAGATAAAACAGCATAAAAACATTGCACTTCAGAGGCAACAACGCAGTTTATTACCCATCGCAAAGTCAGAAGACTTTGCATTTATATAGTCTGAATATTTAAACATAACCCTAAGCTGTCTGTCTGAGTCCAGGCAGATAATTGGCATACAGAGAGTAAAATGCATAGCCTAGGGTTTACCCATCCTACACATCTCCATGGTTGGCCTAATGCTTTTTGTCCACACCCTGATACCGGAGTCCTCAGTAGCCAGGGGATTGGCTGCCCATGCAGTGCATTGCCTGTCAATTGATCAGGGCCTGACTCCAGCTTAGTGCACCCTCACTGGGAACCTCAAATGAGGCACAACACCAGGGCATTCATCTTCATCAGAGGACCACAGGATAAAGTATCAGGGAGTTTTTTCTTTCTCTAGCAGAGATGGGACAAATAAACCACTGAAAACAGATAATTTTTCCTTCTATTTGTAGTGCTTCAAGTGCTATCACTATCACATAATGCCTATGCTGTGTCCATGATGAAACTATATTGCAGACCCTCTCTGCTGACTCAATCTAATTACATGGTGCTTATGTGCAGTGTTTAAGCCAAGCACATGCACATTTGCAGTATGATCATTTGCATCTTGGATATAACTGTGAAAACTTGATGCCCTCAATTTTTCAGCAAGCTAAATCTTCCATTTCTGCTGCTTCTCAATGATAAATCACCAGTTCACCGAAAACCCGAGTGAACAGGGAACTTGAGGGTTTGACCAATGTCAGAATTGGAGACATTGCTGTGCTACCAGTCAATACCAACAAATAAAACAGCCTGCTCAGATGGAGAATCGTGAATTTATTTTGCCTGATGTAATTCATTAAACTGTTGCTTATGCCCATTTATCATAATCAATCACAGGGCAGTGGAGCCAAAAGAGCAATTTAGAGCGCTACAGAGTTATGCCATTGCTGAGTCCATAATAAATTTGAGGAAGATTATATAAGGCAATATTGAACCTTGGGGTACATTCTCTGTCAGACTGTAATGAATCATTCATTGCTCAAGATCTATATTTTACAAATCAGTGACAGGTGAAAACAGATGAATGAATAAGGTGTGAATGCGAGTTACAGAGGTTAAGCAAACCAGCTGTTGTGTGAGACACTGATTGTTAAGCACTCAAAATAATAACACTTTTTTTTTAACCCACTGAACATTTCAGTTGAATGCATGTACCATAAATGATGAACTAAAACTCTGAGGTCAACTCAACAAACCAAAAACATACTTTTACCATGGTGTTGACAAATTTTGGTAGGTGCTATATAATAGGCAACTTCTTGCTCTGGGCAGACTTTGGATCCCAGCACTATTGATTATGAGTAACACCAGATGTCAGAGTTGGATGACAAATGAGGAGTCAGAGGATGGAACTGATGAGTGTGCCACGAGGAGGTTATTTGTCTTTTGGACAGGGAATTCTGTCAAGATTCACAACCCTCAAAATCCATCAGAATCTCACTGTCCAACAGACTATATGTTCATTAAAACAAATGGTGACATTTTCATTTCAAGATGCTGTTAAATGATCCTGTACACTTCCAAGATTTTGTTTCTTGAGCAAAGTCTTTAAAACATGACCATGAATATTTTATAGTCCAATCATTGATCTGGAGCACAAAATAATAACATTTCTATCCATTTTACAATGTGGGTGTAAAATAATGCTTTCCAGGGTAATCTGATCCCAGAATCTGTTCTATTTTTTGACATAGATTTAATTAGTAAAGGATGTATTTCATAGCCATACAGAGAGTTCCCACCCTTGCTGCTACAAAATAGGCAACACTGATCATTTTCAGCTTATTTTCTAGTCAGGCCTGCTGATACCCCACACAACAAATGGCCCACAGTCCCACCAGAGACAAGCTGCAGCTGCTGTGCTGGTGTGTCTTAGATCTTCAGGACTACGGCGATGTTTTGTCCCACATACATGCAGCAGCTTTGTAACTTAAAAAAGGCTTCACAATAAACCCTGCATGTGCTGCAGTGGTAGAAAAGCCTTCCTGTGGGTCTGAATTAGTGTTCTTGGACTTGTACCCAGAGTCCTTGCAGCCAAATCAAGTCAAGAGAAGAATTTTCTTTGCTGCCAAACACCAGCAGAGGGGGATGTGCTCAAGTCAGGAGGAGCAAGTTAATGTGTCAGCTGTGCCGGTTGAAGCCTCACAAGCTTCCTTGCAGCCACACCCTGATATAAGGCCACGTTCTGACAAAGCCACAGTGACGTGTGCAAAGATGTGTAATATTTATCTGAACAAGAGCATTGTTCACAGCCCGCTGCACTTGAAATATTTCATATAAGCTACTTTACAACACTGTCAAAATACAGGATGTGTGTTGTCTCAAGATTAAATGCTCAACTTGTGTTTGTAAACATGACAGATGGAAATAGTGACAATTAAATATTGCTTTACATAAATTCCGTGATCATGTCAGATAATAACCGTGAGCATGTTTGGCACTTTGAGATTTAAATGACAGTGGTGTCATAGATTTTCAAAGGATTGTGAATTGAGGTTTTCACAGGCACTGGCTGTCATTTAGGAAACAAAACTCGAAAACATTCTGCCTCAGTAAAGCTAAGTGAGCAGTGCTAATATTAGAGGTTTTTTTTCATAATAATAAAAAAAAAACAGGTTAAAAATCCCTTCTGCAGGGCTTTATGAAATAGTCTGAGATAAATTATGCACATCCACTGGCTTTTGATATCCATCCCACGGGGCTTTTTTTCTTTTCATTAAAGCTCTATTTTTTCCAACTATGAATCCTTTTTTTTCCCAGAGAAAATGACTGGGCAAAATCTTTTAGTTCAAATCAGTGCAAGATTAAATAGCTTACCGTGTGTGCTTTTTTGAGGCTGATGAATGCGCACTGGCTGGGGGCTGTGATATATTAAACTAGCTTAATTTAGTATGCCAACTTGTTGAAGTGGCACCTTGATCTTCTCACAATGAAAAGACTAACAGGACCTAAATTCAGTCAACTGTACACTGAGCAGGAAGACAACCAAAAGATATTTTAATGTCAGCCAACAACAGGATTATTTCTGGAAAAGGCAATATCAGTGACTCAATTAAGTGGCATAGACAACCATATACTTATAAAATAACTAATTCTCACAATTCTCACACCCTTTTTCTCTTGTTTTTATTGTTTGTATCTTTTTTTCTTTTGGGTCATGTCAGTAACTTTTCCCCAGCAGTAAAAACAGCAGTCGTTTTAGGCCTATCTGTCTAGTAAACGCAGGATTTAGAAGGAAAAAATCCAGGCTGTGTCCTCAGTTAAACATCATCACTAATCCGTAATCTGAAAGTCAGAAAGTCACTCTCAGACACAAACAAACTCATAAACAAATTGACAACGTGGCACTTTTACTGCATTATTGTTACTGATTTCTTAATAAAGAATGAGTATCAATAATCTTGGACTTCAATAAATTAATATAGCTCAGTCTCGTATCTCTGATAATGGAGAATCAAACTCTATGCCGCCTCTACTGTAGCCGAGTCGCATTTACTATCGCAGCTCATATCGTACAGTTTACAGTTTCAGCGCCATGTTCCCATCCTTTGGTAAGAAAAGAAGGGTAATAATAACGATGAGACGCGTAGCTCATCCATATTAGAAGAGTCTTTAATGAACTCGGATCGTCAGAGACCCTCCTCCTGCTCCCGGCTCCCTCCGCTCCGCTCCCGTTACCAGACGATGCGCGCGTGAAAATTTGCAGCCCCATCTTTATCAGTATCATCGCCGTGAAGACAAAGAGAAGACCGCAAATGAAGATGTGCTGCACTAGCAGGAGAAGCCCCTCTTAAAATCACCGTTACCGCAGCTGTGCCCGCCCAGAGGCAGACAGAGAACCGGTCCTTGGAGACTCTTTGGGGATGCGCAAAGATGTGAGAGTGAAGAGTGAGATGCATTATGATTGGCCATACTCATCCTAAAAGCGTCAGGCAAGGAGAGTGATGTTTGCTCCAGCAAAAGAGTCGACGAGGTGGCATCAAACTTGAAGGAGACGTGTTCAGTGTGCACATTCGATGCTTTCACGGCATTAACCGTAAACTTGAATCATTTCCCCAAAGAGGCGGACGCGCTTTCCGTGGTGCTGAAACAGAGACTTGGCTGATCAACTAGTGAACAAGAGGAGGAACCTCTCACTTCGTCACCTGCTTCTGAGCTTCATTGTATTGTGGAGCCGTGGCAAGGTAAGTGCAGTGATGTACAGTGCCTTACCATGTAATGAAGATACGCTGTTTTCATTTATGTATCACGGCCACACATGAACCAGCGTCCGTTTTTTTAATCGCGTCTTTATCTGTTGTCCTGAGTTTCTGATGCGTACGTTTTATTTTAAAGTTTGATCCGATTTTACCATAGCAACAAAGTTTCATAATCAATGCGTCTTAAGATTGTTTAGCTTACATTCTCCAGCTGTGGAAACGTATTGCAGTTTGTCTGTCCTTTATGCTTGTCAGTATTAGATACTTTCTAAATTTAATCTGATTTAAATTCTTTCCCCTCATTGTTGTTTTAAAAGCTCGAGGGACTTCGTTTTCTATATTGCGTTAATTTACCCTTAGGTTCAAGTGCACTAGAGAGTTTACTTACTTCAGAAAGTGTTTAAAAATGATGAAAACATAGCTTTATAACTGCTTGTGCACTTAGTTTTCTGTGCTGTCAGACATTTTCACACATCACTCCTTCTTTGAAACATGTATTATTAGAGTGAGAAATCACAGCATATACTTTACCACTGCAGCATGGGGAACATTGTACTTAGTAATGGCGCTTTCTGTTGGAACAGTGATTGGAAGCAGGAGTTTGTGCTGGTCTTTCATTTTGCTGCTGGTACCTGTACATTAGTTGTAGTTGTTGTTGTTTGTTTGTTTCATACCATGACTATGTGCCTCAAAACTCAATTCACATTCAGTGTTTGTAAGGGAAAACTTTAAAAGTTGTGTTGAGGTTTAGAAATTCATACCACTATTATGAGTAGATTTCCTTTGTTATATCACGTTAAAATGTGGCTGGACTATAACCAGGAAATAGAAACAAGTGAAAAAAGATTGTGTGCTGTTGTTCAAGTGTCACATGAAGATTGGTGTGTTCACTAGACCATAAAAATAGCCGCTGCTCGCTAACTGGCTTCAGGGCTGTATTTTTGGGTTATGTCACTTTTATAGCACAAAAGAGATTGTTCTAACATAATCATCCCTAACATAACTTTAAGGTTTGTGGTGGCTTTCAAATGCTTGATGTTTCCAGTGCACTGTCCAAAGAAATCCGAATAAACAATATCATATAAAATAAATAAATAAAATGTTGTAAACTGATTGTATAAGAGACTGCATGTTCAAACCATGTGGTCAGTTAAAAGTTTAACATCTGAAAGAGCTTGTAGAGTGTTGTAATTGCAAGAGCTGTGACTTACTTGCTTTAATCAAGTACCTTGTTGGACTGAGAAGAAGCGTGGGTGTCATCAAAGCAGAACAAAGCCTCTTTGAGGTGGAAAAACTTAAGTTGTGATTAATTTCAAAAGGCACGCCTTAATTTCAAAGGCACGTTCTTGTATTTCAGACACTAAGTCAATATCCTACAAAGTCAGAGGACTTTTTGCGGTGTTGAAGGAGACTACTCAGAACTTAAAGCTATGGCTGATAAGCTTTTAAAACTGGATGGCTAGCTAAAATTTTACAACACAGCTTTTTTTTTGTGTTCTGTGGCTCTTTAATAGATAGTTTGTTATTATTTGTTTATTTTTACTAGAAGAGCTGTTATCCTCTCTTCCTAATTCTAACATGTATTTAAAATCTGAGCAGAAGCAGGTGTATTTGTACCTGCAAGGGTGAATGAAGTACTTGACCTCTGTGTCAGAATTTGTTATTCATTCTTCATGCAAAGATTCAGACCCTCCACAAGATAATAAACAGAGTTGTAATTGCCAGTAAGGTTGCTCACCAGCTTTAATCAATTACTGTGCCGTCGTCCATCGAGAGAGATTGGGAGTGCAGGTGTCATCAAAGCAGAATGAGTCTCTTTTGAGGTGGGAAATGCAAGACTCAATGACTTCACTCAGCTGGGTCACTGGACACACAGCAGAGCTTTGACGCGTACAAATTGTGCTTGAAGGTGCTGCGTTCATCCTGGGAGGCTCAGTGGCTGGCAGAGGACCAGCAGAGCAGGGACATTGCACTCCAGATGGCCAAGAGAGGCCAGAGGAAGAGTGCTGTCCAAGCCCAGCTGGGTGTACGGGAAGCTGGACTGCCGGTGGTGTGTGTACGTGATTGTGGGAGGCAGACGGGATGAGAGAAGCAGTAAACGATAGAAAGAAAGAGGGATATACAGTATGTGAGGGTGTGTGTGTGTATTGAAGGAGCGGTTTGGGAGAGAAAGGGTGAGCGAGAGAGAGCGAGAGAGAGAAACTGAGAGCAAATGGTACAGGCGCCTCTGTGTGTGCTCGCATGCATGGAAGTAGTGATAGGAAAAGTGTGGGTGGAAGAAGAAATGAAAGAGAAGATGAAGGAGCTTGCATGTCTGTGTGCTGGTGCTAGTGTATGTATGCAACTGTGTATTTCTCTAGCCGTGTGTGTGTGTCTGTGTGTGAGTGAGAGTGTTGAAGGGACAGAAGCAGAAAGGGTTGGAGAGAGAAAATGAAAGAAAAAAGAAGCAGGCACTTGTGTGTATGTGTCGGTGTGTGGGAGGGAGAGAAAATGAAACTGGAAGAAGCAGGCATGTGTGTATCTTTGTGCTTGTGTGTGATTGCAGAGAAAGCATTACTCAGTAAAAAAAAAAGACAAAAACAAAATAAGAGGAAGAAAAAGGAACACGTGTGTCTCTTGGAAAATGAGAGTACGAAGGGTGAGAGAAACACTGGTTTGATTGGATGCTTGCTTTTGTATTTGTGAGGAGAGTGTTGTACATGGGTGGTCTTAACCTTCTCGAGGCAGGCGTTGCCGATTTGCAACAGTTAAAAACTAACAACCTGATTACCCCACATGCATATTTTATGACTTTTTTTTTTTACTCAGAAGTACCACTGCAGGTCTTGGTTGTGCATTAGCAACAAAAAGTTTAATTTGAGCCTGAGAGGGTTAATACTGATGCTAGTATTCACTGATGATACTAAGAGGTGTATGAAGGCTGCATGGAAAATTACACACACAAAACAATTAAAATGGAATTTTACCTCAATTGGAAAAAAGTATCTCAGCATTTCATTCAGCCAGCTCTGACCTCTGACTCTGCGTTTTACCATTTTTCACACACTCGTTCAGCAGCAATGTGACTTTCGGTGTTCTCTGAGTATATGCTTTATGGCAAAAGGCTCCATGCAGATGACCTCTTTCTCAAAGGTCATAATCTGATATTCATGCCCCACTATGATGGAGAAGATCTGTTGCATGTGTCAGGCTTTTTTTTTTTAAATCCTTTTTTCAGCACATTTTACATCTTTGATGTAACACATTCTCCTTCTGAAGTAAAAGCCACCTGAGAATGCGCACAGAGCACATGACGACAAACACACAACGGCTTCACAGAGATAACTTTGCCTCACTGTTTCCATTTGGGAAGCCGCTAGAGAGCAGATGGAGAGAAAGCATGCTCTTTTTATTCTGCCACATCTGCTCCGTGATGGAATGGAGCATGATCTGCACTTTGATCACAATGAATTATTCCTATCCCTGGCTATAAATATGGTCTGTCTACAGCACCCAGTCTCTCTCTCACTTCTTAAACTAGGAATCTGTGCTCGCCTCTGAGTCGCTCTCTCCTTGAGTGTGTCACTGCGGCTCTACTGCAGCTCTGGTTTTCTTCTTTACACTGTGAAGGAACCGAAATCCGTTCCTTCAGCCCAGTTCAGTAAAAGAAGCATTGTGTGCAAAAAGTTCTATATAAGAAACAAGTAAAGGGGCTTTGCTCAATCATCTATTATTCTGCCTTTATTCCATATTTCTCACTTTTGCAAAAAAAATAAAAAATAAAAACATGAAAATGTCAAAACCAATAATTTGTCTCCCCTCTCAATACCCAGGCACGCTGTGAGTCTGTATCACACCCTGAAGAAGGATTTAATCAATATGTTTGCACATTGTGTTCACTCACTGACATTATTGTTGAAGATGTATTGCCAAACATGAAAATAATACAAATATAGCATAACAGCCAGTTTCATAAGTCTGTCCCTTCCTTACAATACCAGACGGAGGTGCCATCCAGTGCAGCAGTGTGGCTCATTAGTGTGCTCTAAATGCTTTCTTAAAATAATGGATGGGATGTGTTAAATTCTCCCAATTCTTTCATCTTTGGGCTGAAGGAAGGACAACACTCGGTGTATAAATGCTCAGTCAACAGGAAGAAAAAGATTTATTGGCAGGCATTGGATAATATGGCTCAACTGATTACAGCCTGCATATCATATAGCTTTTATCCCTGTTCCATGATTGTGATACCAGCGTTGAAAAGATAAGCTTTAGCCCTGAGATGGACATTACTCTCTTACTTTTAAGGCAATTTCAGATTTGAATTAAATATAGCTGGGAAAAATTGGATATATAAATTTACAAAACTGAAAATTATTAAATAGTTATTGAGGCCACAAACTCTTCATGAAAAAGATAGCTGTATGTATGATACACCTAATTTATTTTTCACTCTTTATTTGATCTAAGTGGGAAATTTTGTTCCTCTCCTCACTTATTCTGCTGCGTGTGTGTTTGTGTCACTGTGTGTGCCCCTCCTCACAGACACAGAGTGGAGCAGATGAGACTCAGATGACAAATGGTTCTTATGTAGCGCTTTTCTACTCTATCTGAGCACTCAAAGCGCTTTACACAACTTGCCTCATTCACACAAGCACCTTTTTTGTACGCTCTTTCTCTCTAACATTCACACGCATTCATACGAGCAACTTGGGGTTAGTATCTTGGCCAGAAATATTTGTCATTCGGACTGGAGCACAGGGGGCTTGAACAACCAGCCCTTCAATTAGTAAGTGACCTGCTTTACCAGCTGAGCCACCCCATATATCTCATGCTCTTCCCAATATAATTTATATCAAGTTGTCAAAACCTTTTTTTTTTTTATCAAAATAAATCCTGACACATGTTCAATCAAACAAAATAAAATATAAAAGCAAGATGAATGAGAATGTCACAAAAGTGACATTCTCATTCACTTTAACAACTCTTTGCATTAAATGATAATT